CCAGGGTACCCCAGGAGCAGGATCCCTGAGTTCCATGGACCAGAACCCCTGGTACCCCAAAACAGAGGTACCAGGGTGCCAAAGTCCCCCAGGAGCAGGATCCTTGGGTCCCCAAAAAGCAGGATGCTTGAGTCCCCCATGACCAGGATCCCCGAGTTCCACGGACCAGAACCCCTGGGTACCCCAATACCAGGGCGCTGGGGTCCCCCAGGACCAGGACACCGGGGTGTCCTGTGTGCATCCCTCCAGGATCCCATCCCAGAGGCAGCCAAGCGGGACAGGTCCAAAGTTTTCCGGCAGTGCCAGCGGCACGTCCCTGCTGGTGCCGAGCAGGAAGCGCCGAGCAGGCGAGCGCCGGGGAGGGCGGCCTGGCTAATGGATAACCCCACTGCGGGGGGCACTTAAAGAGCCCCAGATGCCCCCTCCAGGCCAGAGGAGGGGTTGGGGAGCTGGCAGCCACTCCCCCTGTGCGCCCCTGGGGGTTACGGCAGGTCCTACAAGAAGTGGAGCTGCTGTTTGTTTGTTTTCCTCCCGCTGCCGGGGCTGAGACGGCTCCGCGGGGACATCCCCGGGGTGCCCAGCACGTCTCAGGGTACCGACCCCACCCGGGGGTGCCCCGGCACCCTCCGGCACAGCTGTCCCCTCCCTGTGCCCGTGGGGACGCGGGGACACGGCGGTGGGAATCCGGCCGCCGTCACCTCCCCTGGGACGGAGCCAAACGCCGGGACACGGCGTCCCGGGGACGGGGGAAAGGGTCAGCCCCGCTCCGGCCCCGTCCCACCCACCGGGCAGCCGGCCCGGCGCCGGGGCCCCCACCCGTGCCGGGGCGTGGGGGGGGACGAGGGGACCAGCGCTGCCACGGGGGGTCCGTGGGGATCCATCCCAAGGGGGATGTCTGGAGGCTCCCACCCCGCCGCGACGCTGGAGGGACAGCCCGCTGGCCACCCCCGGAGTGGGGTCCTGCCCCCCGCCTCGAGTGGGGTCCGGACAGGGGGATTTGGGGGTCCGGGGCGCGGGAGCAGCCGCGGAACTCACCGAGCAGCCGGGGAGGCCGGAGCAGGGGAGCGAGCGGTGGGAGCAGCCGCCGGGCTCTGCCGGGAGGAGCGGGAGGGGGTGGGAGAGAAAAATTAATCATCCAGGAGGCCGAGTCTCGGCGGGAAGCGAAGGAGTCCAGCTCGGCTGCGCCAATAACCGCCGGACAGACGGACGGGCTGGGTCCTAGAGTCCCACAGCTCGGGGCCGCCGAGGAGCCGTGCGTGGAACCAGATGTGCACGGGCCCAGATGTGCGTGGGGCCGGATGGGTGGGCACTGAGTTGTGCACACACCCAGCTGGGCGTGCGTTCATCCAGATGTGCGGGCACCCAGCTGTGCATTCACGCAGTCATGCAGGGATGCTCCCAGCCGTGCATGCATCCAGATGTGCATGAATCCGGCCATGCACACACCCAGCCATGCATTCATCCAGATGTGCATGAATCTGGCCATGCATTCATCCAGATGTGCACACATCCAGCCCTGCGTCCGACCACCAGCCTTGCACAAAGGCTGTGCCCACAGCTGGATGTGCCCACAGCTGGATGGATCCCCCCCCCCATCAGCCCTGCTGGGGGGGGGACAAGGGGCAGCTGACAGGGGGTCCGGGGTACCTGGTGGGGGGTCTGGCGTGTCTCCATGTTCCTCATGTCCTTGTCCAGCTCCTCGCTGAGCTGCTCCAGCTCCTGCTCCAGCAGCACCTGCACGGGCAGGGTGGGGCTGTGGTGGGCCAGGCTGGCACTGCCCGTGGCCACCAGGACCCCCACTGCCACCCCCAGCCCCCTGCCCGCCACCACCACCTCACCTCGATGGACTGGGCCCGCCGTGCCACTGCTGGGGGCTGGAAAGGGCAAGGGGCCAGTTAGGTGTGTGCCCACCACGGTGCCCACCAAAATCCCTCCCTGCCAGGACCTCCCTACCTGCTCCAGCGGCGAGAATTTCCCGGGTTCATAGTCAAAAATGCTGCCGGGCTCCACGGTGGCATCGGTGGAACCCCAGCGCATCCTGAGGAGGGGAGGGAGGGGCTCAGCCCCTGCAGCCCCCCC